TTAACGATTGCGAGGGGTGGGGAGGGGGGTTTGCGTTATTTTTCCGACGGCTTGAATGTAATAATAATAATTATGTATATTATTGGTTCTTTCGGTAAAGTCACGTAGAAGGGAAATAAGAAAATAAAAATATATGAACACTAATCATTTTATTATTTACCTTCTACGTGACTCCACCGAGCAGAACCAAGAATATGAATCCCTACAGACACGATAAAAAAATAATGATGTACACTTACTTGTAAGGGATCTTCCACTGATGTTTCAAGGCATCAGTGGAAGGTTATATTTTAAAGATTCCCGTCCCTTGTCCTTCACCACCGGACAAGAATCAGTGAGGCGTTGGAGCGGCGCCGAGTAGTCTCCGTCGCGACTGGACGCTCTCCCTCGCAGTCGGCCCTTAGTCTGGCGCTGAGGTCGCAAACGGGTTTTGATTCCTTACCCGTACGCGGCCGTACCAGGGTCGCAAATGGGTACCCGTAGGCCGGGTACGGGTACCCGTTCCCTACCCGAAATGAGTGACAAACGGTTACTCACCAGTGACTCACGGCCTACCCGTACCCGGCCGCACCAGGGTCACAAACGGGTACCCGTACACGGCCGGGTGCTGGTACTCGTTCCGTACCCGTACCCTACCCGAAATGAGTGACAAACGGTTACTCACCAGTGACTCATGGCCTACCCGTACCCGTACCCGGCCGCACCAGGGTCGCAAACGGGTACCCGTTCCCTACCCGTACCCTACCCTAAATGAGTGACAAACGGTGACTCACCAGTGACTCACGGCCTACCTGTACCCACCAGGGTCGCAAACGGCTACCCATTCCCTACCCGTACCCTACCCGAAATGAGTGACAAACGGTGACTCACCAGTGACTCACAGCCTACCCGTACCCGGCCGCACCAGGGTCGCAAAGGGTACTCGTTCTACCCGTACCTACCCGAAATGAGTGACAAACGGTGACTCACCAGTGACTCACGGCCTACCCGTACCCGTACCCCGCCGCACTAGGGTCGCAAACGGGTACCCGCATTTATGTAACAATATGTGTGATGTATTTTTCAAGGTATTTTTCATTCCAGTAATGTCTTAAGAAATTTTAGATATTTCAAACCGAGAAGAGCTACTAAAGCCCATGAGGAATTGCTCTTGTTCATTCTCGAATTCGATAGCGCATTGATACTTAAATAAACGAATATTACACGGCACAAACATTCAACAACATTGCAAAGGAAATGCCACTCGTGTGATAAACGGTGCGCCAGACTAGAGGTCGTAAATCGGGTACCCGATACCCGGTTACCGTTTATCACACGTGGCATTTCCTTTGCAATGTTGTGGAATGTTTGCACCGTGTAATATTCGTTTATTTAAGTATCAATGCGCTATCGAATTCGAGAATGAACAACAGCAATTCCTCATGGGCTTTAGTAGCTCTTCTCAGTTTGAAATATCAAAAATTTCTTAAGACATTACTGGAATGAAAAATACCTTGAAAAATACATCATACATATTGTTACATAAATGCGGATCCTTTTAAAGGGTCAAATTTTTTTTATAGATTTGCATTCCTTTAGCAATTTAGGGACTGCTAAAACATTGACAGAGACTCCTGGTGAGTCTGCTGATGAACTTGTCATATTTGACATCACATGCGCTAGCATGACAATCCTACAGCGGTAGATCCAAAGGTCTTTGACAGATTTATTGTGCAATTCAAACCCACGAACAGTCCTGAGAAACCATTTAAAATTGCCTTACCTGGTCACGTGTCAACATATGATATCCTGTACCTGACAGAAAGTACTAAATATAGATGAATGTTGAATACCTACAGGAAAAGAAATCCCTCAAAGCCACTGGTGGCAGAAGTTGAAGTTGGTTATTTTATAGGTTGTCGTCCTGAAATTATAGTATATTTTAACAAAACTTATGAAAGCTGCTTGAAATTCTTTATAAATATGAACCAATATTTATTTTTACGGTAATGGTAAAAGTTTCACCACCACCCCTCAATTTTACAGACTCCAAAGCCATGTTAGTTGATAGGACAGATATGCTAATCTTCAAGAAGTACTACACATGTATCACCTCCACATGATTGTTCAATAATCTCAGTGTCTGAGATTCCAACTGATACTGTCAACAAACTTGACATATGTGATATCACGTCTGATAGCATGACAGTATCATGGGTGGGTAATCAAAGAATGTATTGTGCAATACAAGCCCACTGACAGTCCTCAAAAAACACTTTCAACAATTAATCTAATATCTTCAACCAAACTTTACTTTTTGTGTCTACAATGGTGTAACTCAACATAAATATCCCACTCACCCCATCTCCTAGTATTTTGTCAAAAAATCCCTATCAAAATTAATATTGGTAATGAAATGTGGTTTTCACTTGATAAATGTATCAACTATCTTACCATTGTGAATTCAAAAGAGTAACACGTTTAGATTGACATGGTAATATACTGCAAAAAAATATATAATCTACTTACAGGAGTTGCACATGTATTTTTGATATATATTTAACAGCTGCTGTTTAGTTATGTATTTTAGAGAATGCCTCATCATCAAAAAACTGTTTTTTTCTTTTCCAGAAATTAAACTTTTAACACCTCCAGAACCCGCAGGTGTAGTTGAAGGTTCACAACCAATAACTACTTTTGAAGACCTTGAAATTACCACGAAGTTCCCCGACAAAACTATTTCAGTGACATCTGTTTCTGGGGTGCCAATCGATTCTGCCAATGAACTTATTATATCTCACATCACAGCCAATAGCATTAGGATTTCGTGGGTAGTAGACACGAAAGTGTTTGACCGCTTCATTGTGCGCTGCAAGCCAACAGGCAGTATTGAAAAGCCATTTGAAAGAAATTTGGCTGGGCACGTTTCCGTCTTAGATATATTCGAGTTAACAGAAAACACTGAGTATACTATTATTCTTCTTGGTGCAAGGCGTGGATTGTTTTCCAAGCCTCTGGTGGCGAAAGTAACAACAGGTATTTAATTTGATACAATTATTACGATGAGCGCGAATACATTTCCATATTTTAGTCACCTCGAGTTGGTCGTCATGTTGAGCTGAAGTCCAAATTCTCCAGGCCGATTTTTTGCTTCTCAAGCTGGCCTGAATTCCCTGCATCAGAATTTAAAACAACATTGTCGGCGGTAAAAACATTTCATTGAGCATTTAATTTCTTCAACGGTGCAATCTTTACCTATTTTTGGGAGAGATCTGCCCAACTCACATGATGAATTGAGTAACTCAGTAAATCAGGAAAAGACCGCTTTTCTTTTAAGCATTCTGAGTTGTCCTTAAAAATATATAATTTACATTCTCTTTTGACTCAAATTCCGACCAAATCAAGTGTACTTGAGTCGATTCGAGTTGGTTGTCCGTGAAAACAAGGTCTAATTGTATAACAGTTTACATACTAACTACATCTATTGCTTTTACAGAGACCAAAGTGAAGTCCACTGCAGATACTTCAACGTACCATGCAGTACCCACGACTGAAGTTCCACGGCATGTCCAGCAGATAACAGTGACTGCCTCTCCTGGTGTTCCAATTCAATCCGCCAATGAACTCACAATATCTGAGATAAGCGACGATAGCATTGTCGTTTCATGGAAATCAGATCCAACCTTGTTCGATAAATTCATCATCCGATACAGACCTACCTGCAGCTCAAAAAAACCTTTGGACCGCATTGTGTCCAGCCATGACTCCATGGTTAAAATTAAAGGACTTCTTGAAAGCACGGTTTACGAAATATCCATCCTTGGCATAAAACGAGGGAGATTCTCCAAACCTGTTTCAGCAAAGATTATCACAGGTATTCTTTCATGTTATAATATTGATAAACTTGTCCACGACGATTATCTGACTTATATCGATATGTTTTTATCACTAATGTGAAATTGCAGGAAATGGATTATGCATTTAATAAGCATGTCTGTTTTCTTTCACAGTGTTTAAGAAGATGATGTGTTACTGTTGAATGCTTGTTTATGTCCTAGCAAGAGTAACATTTTTTCTTCTTTTCTAACAGCAATGTCAAAGGATAAAGGCATGAAGCTTGCCACAACAGCGATACCCACTGAAACCGATGTCCCTGTGCATACCACATCATTCCCTGACACGGAAGTTGTATCTGTGTTTGCAATATCCGGAGTTCCACTCGACTCTGCAAACCAACTGTATATTTCTGAGATAAAGCCACACAGCATCAGAGTTTCGTGGGTGGTGGACGAATATGTGTTTGACAAATTTGTCGTGAAATACAAGCCCACGGATAGTGCTGATAGACCTTTGGAACAGATTGTACCCGGCAACGTTAAAACCATTGTGCTTAAACATCTGAAGGGGAGCACAGAGTATGAAGTTACAATAGTTGCAAAGAAAAGAAGGAAATATTCCAAACCATTGACTGCAAGGGTGATGTCAGGTACACATCAAGAATGTCTGTGCATTACAAAAAGTTTTTAATGCGTATTTCTTTTAGCAAATGGAAAGTGGGAGAACATTTAAATCTATTGTCTGAAAGCAGTAGAGTAAAATTAATTACTAGCTTGTTTGCCCGTCCAAGGACGGGTGTATATTGAAGGAAATGGGAAATATTCAATAGAAAAATGATTCAGCTCATGATTATTAATGAGGGGGTTGCCCCATGTGGAGTGACGTCACGCGCGGGACACACACACAGCCTTTTGGCTCGTTATGTTAGTCGCTGCGTTGATTTTTTTATTAGCTTTACTTTCCATAAAGAAAGGTCAAAATGAAAGCTAATTTGCATAAACAAATGTTCGTTTCCCGCTCCACCTTCTTAACGCGGAGTGACGTCACCCGTTCATCATAATTAATGGCTGACGCCACGTGCGTTGCACACAGACATTCTTGGATAAATCTCGAAGTCAATTGCCTGCCTGTCAAGCAAGATACACCCTTACAAAGTTCACACGTGCGGTTCATTTTGCCCCCAGCTATTGACGGGGCAAAGAATCTGCAGGTGGTGTCAGTGACCGACTCGACGATGGACATCGAGTGGGAGAACACCCAGTCTCCCATCGACCACTACACGGTGCATTACACCACCTCGTCGGGTGACCCACCAGGCGACATCAAGGTGTACAAGAGCCCACAGCCTACCACTAAGACAACCATCACTGGTGAGTTGTCCACTGAAATAGCAGTAACTGTTATTGTCTGAAGCTTGTGTTGCCTCCGAAACGTCGTGATTTTATTTTTATTTTACTTTTATCTTTTTTTTTTAACCTACGTGACTTTACGGAAACAAACTAAGAATATGAATAAGAATATATTATTGTCTGTTCAACGGTAACCCCCATTGATAAATGGTGACCTGTATAGGCTTGCATTTAAGCAATGCGTGTGCTACTCTTTGGTTCTTTCGGTAAAGTTACGTAGGTGAAAATAAAAATAAGAATAGAAAATAGAAGTAACTAAATTTAATCACGACGTTTCGGAAGCAACACAAGCTTCCGTCATCAGGTGGGACAACCACAGCAAAAAAAAAATTAATGTGTGTTACTCTTTGGTTCTTTCGGTAAAGTCACGTAGGTATAAAAATAGTTATTTCGGTAAAGTCACGTAGAAGGGAAATAATAAAATAAGAAAAATAAAACAATAAAATTTTCACGACGTTTCGGCCACAACGCAAGCAGCCGTCCTCAGGTGAAGAACAGGGCTGTCGGAAAGACGCTGTCTTTTATTTTATTGTTTTATTTTAATAATTTTTATTATTTCCCTTCTACGTGACTTTACCGAAAGAACCAAAGAGTGTGGGTTCCTGCAGTCACGAAAGCTTTAAATCAAGAATGTGTGTGTTAAACTGACAATTACACGTTGGCAAACACTTTTGTCAAATCACTTCTGGATGAGTGGCCCTGGGGGACACGGGCCACACAATATTAGTGTACTTGAAAATGTTGCGATCCAAGTTTTGGTGTGCTTTTGTTTAATAATATCACTTTGTTAATGTTGAATTAGACTTTGATCTGTTACAGCCTCGATGCGCCCCGAAGGCGATGATGATAATTTGCACTCGAAGGCGTTAGATGAGTTTGTTGTAGAAGGGGGACGTTCATTGATTTATTTTCTTGATTTCTTTTCTAGGCCTGCAGCCTGGAACTGAATACAAGATATCTGTGGTGGCTGTGAAGGGAAGCAAAGGAAGTGCTCCAGCAAGTACGACCGGACGAACTGGTAGGGTCGATTTTACATCGTCCGTTAAACGCTTTAATTGCAATAATTTTTACGAAGCTGAATTCCTCGGTCCAGAAGTTAGCCCAAATCTCAGTTACGATGACAGCCGCTTATCATATCGAACAAAATTTAGCATGCATATTATATTTAACACACATTTCACAGGCAACATTTTAACGTCTCATATCGGCCAAAAAAAATCTTTAGCGCCTCCTACAGCCCCTGAATATTACTGCATAAACGAGACAAAACTTTTATCATTCGTAATAAACACATTATTTTTTAAATATCAAATTATATGAACATTATGTAAATTAGAAAAATAATATTTTACTGACAATAAACATATGTAACAAGTATTCTTTCTTAGACACGAATCGGGAACGTAACCTCTGCAAGAACACCTGTACCGCTCACAAACCTGTCAGCCCCTTATCAGTGCCCGGCCTAATTACAGACCAATTCAGACCTCATTGGTTACCCCGTGCCCTTATCAACCTCAATGTTCATTCTACAGTCCCATCACAAGGGAGAAACACAAAGAAATAGACGTTAAAAAAATTTACCGTAATGAAACGGCTGTAACGCCATATGAACCTGAAAACTAATTTTCCCTGTACAAGAATACGGGTAAACTGTATGGGTTGACAGGTATGCTATTTCCTCATCTTGAATAATAATGACAAAAAACGCACCCAGCTCTCCGTTGAGCTGTGTTTCTTAGGTCCTCGTATGCTACAGAGTGCATCATTATACGTGCGATTAATGACAGGTAAGCCTACAACCGGCTACATGTCACACACAGGAACAGCTGCCCCTGAGGGGGTCCCCCTTCTGAGTTGCTGGGACATGCACTTGCTTTATAAATACAAATCATGATAATTTCTCTGCTTCAATTATTTTACAGCCACAAAGAATGAGGAGTCTGGTGTTTAAACGTTCGAGAGCCCCTTTAACCCCCCCCCCCCCCCCCCCCCCCCCCGCTTGGCCTTATTTTGCAGTCATTGACGGTCCAAAGGACCTGCAGGTCACCAATTCTAGTGACACCACCATCTCGCTCAGCTGGACGGCTCCCAGCACCAGCTTCGACCGCTACACCATTACGTTTGCCTCGGAGACCAGCGACGACGGGCGGGAGGTGACCGTCCCGGCCGACGCTACCACGGCCACCCTCTCTGACCTGGAGCCAGGCACAAAGTACGCCATCCGCCTGCGGGCCGAGAAGGGGTCTGTACACAGCGCCTGGGCCTTCACCAGCGGAAAGACTGGTGGGTCGGAACGTCGATATGTTAAGAGCACCGCGTGTCCGGATTTTTTTTTTATATATAAGATAAGATGTGCACTACTTGGGCATATTTGGCACAAGACAGAGGAAAGTGGAAATAAGTGACGAAATGTGTAGTGGACACCTAAGAGGTATCTGCCCATGGATTGTGTTGATGATAATGACGACAGATAGTCACCAGTAAGTGAGTGACTAATATCTTATTTATTTCAGCAGGAAAGGCCCATGGGAGTCCTGCAACTGCACTGATGTTATACAGTGCATTGTAATGATGTTCTGCAAGGGCTTTAGAGCAAATGTTTGATAAGAATATAAGTCATGCTTAAGATTATCAGTAGAACAAAATTGAAACGTGAAAGCTTTCATTGTGGCCCCCAAAAATGCCAGGACAGTTCTCCTGAACTCTCGTTAGTTTTTTAACTTCGGATTACAATCGATTGTATCTGGAGGATTTGAAATATATTGAATCTAAGGATGACAATTTTGCACAGCGTGCCAGGCCCTGACCAACGGAGAGACTGGGGAGATAGGACATTGTTTATTAAGGCTTCTTATATGTTATATATGGTCATTATTCAATGTCTGTTGTAAATTCTCATGATGTTCTAAAAGGGATGGAAAGTTGAAATTTGGCATGGAAAATAGTTAAATGTCCGTGCACATCTAAGCACGTAAATAAATAAAAAATGCTTGGAATTACATTGAGGGACAGAAAGAGGAAGACACGGATGAGAGAACATACGCAGGTTAAACGCATTATTCCGTCGGAAAAAGTAAGTTGGCTTAGGTAGGTCACGTAGCTGCAAGGCATGGTCAAGAATGAGTGGGGCCAATGGTCAAGAATGAGTGATGGATTGGCAGCAGAGGGATTCAACTCATCGCAGACGTTCGCCATGGAGACGGAGGAGATGAGATCAATTTGTGCGCAAGTGCTTGTTGGATTGTTGCATCGCAGAAGCATGAGAGATGGCAAGGACTTGGAGAGGCCATCATCCAGCAGTGTGTTTTGATCGTGGGTGACAATGATGTTTGTATCTTAAATTTTTATTGGGGAAAAACAAAAACTTTTGAATTTGGGCCACTAACAAGTAAACCCGTAAAAACAAAGTTTTTCACTATAAATCCTTTATATGCGTGGCGGCTAAAGTCTTCTCGTCCTCTGGCTTGAGATGGCTGCCACCTATGGGTCAGATGATTGTCTGCCAGTATAAAGCAATTGGTAATTAAATATTTAATTTGTTTTCCCTAAACAGTGTAACATTTTGGGAATTTTTTTTCACGAACATTAATTGTCTCTCACAACGAGTCTGTGTGGAAAATGTCAGCTCGATTGGATCACGGGAAGTGGGTTAAAAAACGACCGAAATATTTGCACGGTCGTAAACAAGCAAGCAAGCACGCAAGCAAGCAAGCAAGAGAACTTAATATAAAGGATTTAAAAATGGCAGGACATTTGTGGACCAACTCTTGACTCAATTTATTAACCGCATCAGAATATTTTTTAATTATAAATTCGTCATTGATGATGAGCCGTGTCGACCCATGATCTCGTTTTAATCTGGCAAACTTTCTGGTTTAGAGTTGAGTGCTCTGACACAGCGCCACCTTGTCACGTAAATTACGTGAATATTAATTTAATATTTTACGTAATGTTTAAGATAACCAATTGATTATTCAATTTTACAGGAGTACGTTGATCATATCTCCATCCTCTAAACCCCTTGAGCTATTTATACAATGTTATAGTTTAACTCTGAAATATGAATTATCTTCTAAATTTGCAACTGAAATGTGAAATCTAAAATGTTCTTTCCAATTCTTTTAGAACGCAGGCTTTTACGGAATTTCATTGTCAAATAGTTTGTACTTTAATGTTATAAATACTGCAATTGAATGTATGGTCGTATTTGTTATACGCTAACCTGTAATTTACTTAATGTGTTTTTAACGACCTGGACTAACAATGCAGTGAATTTAACAACAATAACAAAATACCAATTTGCCATCAATATTGATACGACAAAAGTTGCTTACCATTTTCACTTGGTCTTCTTGCACACAACATTTACTCATATATCGGATAAGTCTCACCTTCACTGGGAATTATTGAGCATGTAAATTATTCATTACTTTAGATCGATTCTTATGGTCAAGTAATTGTATGCAAATGTAGTTTTTTTTTTCCGGCTAAAGGAACAAAGTGAGACAACGTGTGAGATAGACGACAACTAGAGTGAATTCTTCAATTGGATTATAACCCCCAAATCCTAACACAATTCTTCAAATGCCAAGTTTTTGGGGTAGCAAGGCAGGGGGCGGGTGGACAAGTTGAATCGGTACATGCCTAATTGCCAATCTACCTCCGGGCATATTCACAAAGTCTTGTGCGCAGCTATTATGTGTATAAGTTTGTTCACAGCGTGTGTGTTATGATGCCCACTCCAGGCTGCAAGCCGGCCACTGCAATGCGGTTTTCGGATATCACTCCGACCAGCTTAGTGGCATCTTGGGCATCGCCACCCGCTACACCCGACTACTATATTGTCAAGTACAGCCAGAGGAACAGAGAGCCACACACGGTCGCAGTGAGTGGAGGACAAAACTATGTGGTGTTGTCTGACTTAAAACCTGACACAGAGTACAGAGTGCGGGTCATTTCCGTCAAAGGAGTGTCTTCGTCCAAACCCCTGATTGGTGACGTCTTCACAGGTACATTACCCAGAGCGCATTGCCGCTCGCCTCTCTCGCTCTCTTCGATTGCCTCAAATGTCTCGCCTTATCTTTGATATATGTAAGAGAGAAAGCAAAAAAAAAACATCTCTGATGTGTTGTCCGGGTTGGATCTGCACGTCGTTCGACTTGCGTCTGACCACCTTTCCTTCCACGTGCTTTGGAGCTTCCCAGAGGTTTCGAAACGTCGGACGCCCGTTACAAACCCAGTAAACCAATCGGAGAGCTACCCACACATCTGGTGTGCATTTAAAAACGTTTCTTTTCTGCAGAGAGTTGCCAGACCGGAGGAGAGGGTTGCGTCCAGATGTAGAGCTTGCGTTTTAAGTATTCAATGCACACTTTACTTTGGGAAGATTTGTCTTTCAGGTTGTCGCCAGCGTGGCTTGGAGTGACTGCGCAGTGCTTCCTCGTCCCACCCCCAACCTTTGTTTGTCACCGAGAGTTGTCTTCCGTATAAAGACGCCAAGACGTTTCCCTCCATACTGTCATCATACAAAATTATTTTTTAAAACACACATTTTGTATGATGACAGATATATGAGGATGCTTCCGTACTGTGATGGTTAGCGCACTGGACTTTCAAATCCAGGGGCCCGCCGGTTTGATTCAATCTCCCGGATGGGGCGGTTGAAACAATGGGAACATTTCTTTGGTTCTTTCGATAAAGTCGCGTAGGTGAAAAAATAAATACAATAAAAAAACATAAGAATAAAAATATGTTTTATTCTTTATTTTTATTCTTATATTTTTTTTCACCTACGTGACTTTACCGAAAGAACCAAAGATTATGGATCCTTGCAGTCACGAAAACTTCAAATCTAGAATGGCAACATTTATTAAATCCTCCCCCCACCTCCACCTCTCATTACCGAGCAGCATTAATGTGGGGACTTCCCACCTCCTTCTGTGAAATCGAGCCAGTGTGGAAGAATAGGCCAAAATACCCTCTCGAGGGACTCTAGGGCTTATGCGAGTTGAGCACCTTCTGCCAGCATTGGCATGAGCAAGCGATTGTAGGGCCGCACCTTAAAAAAAAAATATCACCAAGATATCTGCCTTCAATCTTGATTTGAAGCTTTCGTGACTGCAGGAATCCATACTCTTTGGTTCTTTTGGTAAAGTCACGTAGGTATAAAATAAAAAATAAATCACGACGTTTCGGACGCAACACAGGCGTCCATCAACAGGTGAGAAAGCATATCTGCCTTGAGAAGAAAAAAAACGCCTTTCAGATAAAACCTAATTTACGGCACCCTGCATGTTTATCCTCTTAGCCGTGACATCGCAAAAGTGAATTAATTTGTTCAATCGTTCCCCCCCCCCTCCCCCCCGAAAAAAATGTCTCCACCACTTCTACAGCTTCAGGAAGCCTCCAGCCACCGTGCCCCGAAGCGAACGCCGAGGATGAGGATCTGAATAGCAGAGAAACGGGGGAACCAGACTACGTCGAGATACAGTCTGCCTCCAACGACGCGCAAAAATGCAAATTCACAGAGAACGCCAAGTCAGCGTTGACCACGCCACCCCCCGTCGACAAGGAGCTGTACGGCCTCAGCCCTATTGACGTAGAGTCCTCAACGATGAGGCTGTCGTGGGCGTCGAAGCCCTTCGCTTTCCAGACCTTTGTCGTAAAGTACGGGCCGGTGTCCGCCGGGAAGATGCGTAAAGTAGTGGTGGCCGGAGATTCCCGGTCGCTCGAAATTTCAGGGCTAAAAGGCAACACCGAGTACGTGGTTTCACTCGCAGGGGTGCGTGATGATACCCTATCACCGCCACTGACAATACGTGTCACGACAGGTACTGGATTATCCTTTTCATTATTTTTTTCTCACGAACAAAACACTTTAATTGCAACGATTTTAGCATTGTCTCTTCAACTGTCGGTGTATTCATCACGTATGAACACTGTTCTTATTGCATTGCAAACGGATGCGGTTTTGATCCGATGTTCATTGTAAAGGACATTTCTGCGGCGGTGTAGCGGTTAGCAACAACTCGACTTTGCAACGCAGAGGTCGCTGGTTCTATTCGACCTCCCCAGCGTGACGGTTGAAACGACCCTGGCAAATTTTCCTAAATCCTCTTCGTCGTCGTCCTCCGCCCCCTGGCACCTGTCCAACGCCGGCAGTGTGAATGGGATCAGCACCGTTCGACGATGGGCAAGGTTGCCTGCAGGCGGGAGGGCAAAGTGTCGGTGTATTCCCACCTCTTCCAAGATATCTGGCCATCATGGAAAGGGTAGAAAATATATCCTCCAGAGGTCCCTGTAGTGGAAGCCCTCCCAGCAGCAGTGGCATGTGCAAGCAATCACAGGGCTGCACCTCTTACCATTCGGAGAGATTTGAATGGAATTTAAGCTTCTCAACCGTGTTTGGTCAATGTTAGGCCACAGCATAATTTTTTTGTTCGTATCAACAGGGCGTAGAGTTTCAGCTCCCATTGGGCGACGATCTTTTATCGGGGGGGAGGAGGGGGGGGGCATCTGATTTAATTGTATTCAAATAGCGTACTCAAAGCAAAAATGTGTCAATCTCCACCACTACGTTGTTGATTAACGTCTTCCGTTTGTGTACACTGTACTTGAAAAGCCACAGCCTCCGTCCGCGTGAGAAGAAGCCTTAATTTGAGGCGTCCAGACAGCGTCCACAAGAAGCAGTTGGCTGCTACGCTTAAGGATGAAGGTGAAATCTCGAGCCAATTGACAGACGTGTCAGCCTCGATACCCCACAGCAAACGCGGGTCTGACAATCACGTTTCAGGGGACAAAGGTACATTCAATACGAGAGACAAATAGCCGCATTGCTTTATTTCGTGCCCTTTTCACTAACACTTTGCATTATGGGAACACAATACTTATATATCAAAATTATACATTTTTATGGAAATTAAGCTCCCCAGGATGTATTGTGGGCAGCTTTCCATGGACAAGATTGATGAAGTATGGTTAAATAGCCCTGACGATGTTCATGGTGTGGGAAGGCTGTCACCCAGCAATGGATTGACAAAAGGGCAGCACATGTCCCTGGAGGGAATTGATGGCAGACGACCTGATACAGAAAATAGATTCTTGAATCTATTGATTCTTGAATCTATTGATTCTTGAATCTATTGATTCTTGAATCTATCTGGCGCTAAGCTTTGACCATTACTCCTTCGTATGCATGGGTATTCTCTGGCTAATCCAGTTTCCTCCCATGTGCCAAACACTCGTTAATGGCATTCAGAATCAGCATCTGTATTTAGGCTAAAATAATCCGATGAGCTATGAAGCTCTTTTTAACAGATATCCAGTAGAGGCATTAATTTGCATTAATTGATCAAACATCTCCAATTTAGCAGGATCCTCTTACAAAAGTCTTGAGAGGTTTTCACGTGTAAATAAAGAGCATTATTATTACTACAATAAAAATGTAGGTGATGTAAAATGTATTTCATTTACCAACTTTTATTTCCTCCTACATTTGCCTGTCTCACTCTTTATCCTAAAGTTGTTGTCTTTTTTACGCACTTATCATTTCAAACGAACATGTTTTGACCTCACATTTTCTGAAACCACATGCTTTGCCCTATCCTTCATCAAACTGAAGCTTCAGTAACAATCATTCTATCAAAAATAAGATGTGTTTAGTTTAACATGCATTAAAAAAACGAGTTTGTTTTGAAGGCATCAATAATGTGAGGGAAACAAAATGAATGGGGAAACTCAGGGGCCTTGACATTACAAGTTGCCATTCACCTCTGCTTGCCAGCCTTCTCTCTTAGCAAGCACTAATCGAGCCATGTCCGAGCAGTCAATATTAAACTTCTTTTGCCCCACCACCCTTTCTGTGGGACCCCTGTATGGTTTGGGACAGCGAGCCCGGTTCTGCATCTTTCTATCACCTCCTTTTCATAACCAGTTTGGCTCGGGTCGACGGTGTGTACGTGAGTCACCACGTGATGTAACGGGCGCGCACATTGCCTCGATATAAATTATTAAAACAAAAAAAATTCAACTTTATTCAACCACCGGTGCTGCCGTTCACGCACTCCGTTTCAAGTGCCGACTTTCTGCCTGTCATTCAAACGCCTCGGGCTTTCACGACCCCGTGCCTCCTCGTCGCCGCTTCGTAACGCATCTCTCCTTCTCTTTACAGGGCTGAGCAAAGCTTGGTCACTTCTAACCACCCGTGCGTGTGCGCGTGCGTGTTGTTTTCTCTTCTTCTTTTGCTTGCAAATTTTGACATTTCACTTCTCAATGTTTTTTTGTTGTTGACGCCCCGTTGTTTTGCCCCCGCCCCCCAACGAAGCAGGTCTGGAGGTGACACTTGTAAAGTCTGCATCTGTGATTGACGGCAAGGCACCCGAAGCTAAATCTGAGAACGGTTATTTCTCCGAGATATATTCCTTCCTCAGTGGTTTAACTACAGATTTCAGCAGCTCAGCTAAGGGAAAAGGTACATGGAAATAAAACGCGTGCTTTAAGTTAAATTACTTAATGAGAACATGGTGAGGGTGTTGACAACTGTATTGTTATTTGGGGTGCAACGTTGCATCCGTTTGTCGTTTATTATTTATTCGTAAGTCTCACGGTGTAACGCATCGATGTCCGCATGTAAGAATCGGTGTATTTTTGTTAATTGCTAAAAATATCCATGCCAATGTCACAGCTGGGCTAATGAAGTGAACTAAACTTGTTTCCAATGCAGTTCCAGAGGAAATGATAATTCGTCGCGACATCGTTTCAAAGGACGTGTTCTGTTTGTAACAATTGCAGCGTGGGTCTCGGTGAAGCAAGGACATTAACCCCATCTGTTCAAATGTCGTTTGAAATCTTCTTTTGCGTGCGATGCGCAGATCCACCCATCCATCCCATTTGCATCCGAATGCTCTTCCTCTCCGGATCATTCTTTAACAGTCTTCTCATTTCAGCCTGCCGAGAGTGCCTTGGGGAACCGGCGAATTGCCCGGGTCGCGTGACGCCACCGATTTAAAAGCCATCCCATCCCACCGCAAGAGGTTAAACTGCGAAGAGGGAGGCACTGTTGCCAGACTCTCCCCACGTGGGAACCACCTTGCCCCTCGATTTGCATCACCTGACCTGCGAGGGTCCGCGCAAAAAAAAAATGTCCACGTGACAGGTGATTTCGGTGAGAATTTGGGGCAAATCCGAGCGTGGGCAGGAGGGCACCGGGTCAACGGGGTTCCTCTCTCAGTTTAACACCTCCCTTCATTGCGATAACCACAACATGCTGACGCCATGCCTCGCAATGCAGAGTAAACTCCCGTGAGCTTCATCAAGTTCTTGCAAAAGCACCAAGTCTGGTGGGGGGGGGGGACCATCCCCCTCCTGCACGTCGATGCTTGGTGAGAGAGGGAGGGAGTTTGCAAATCCCCAATCCTTTGATCGGAATAACCGCGAGAGTAACCTTAGGACTAAATCACCCATGATGCTTCTAATCTCATCGGGATCTCGGATGCTAAGCAGGTTTGAGCCTTGACATTGCTCCGACGGGCAACCGCCGTCGATACAAACACAGGCTGTTGTAGACTGCTTGCAGGGCATCGTCAGCAGAGAGACAGGCGGCAAAATGAATTGTTGTACTGCAATATGCTCCCATGTCTTCGCTGCCCGCGTTCACCAACCTGCGCTGACCAGCGCGGTAAAGTACAGTCAAATAATCCACGAGGCTTGGGGAGGCCCTCATCCAGCAGTGGATTGACAAGACGGCTGTTACATGTAGACGTATTTTTTTTGCTTCGTTTTCACGACGCAGCCACGAATATAGTGACCCCGGTTCCATATGAGGTGCAGGGCAGCTGGTTAGAGTTTTCTATGCTATTTCATTGTCCCCCCATTCACTAACTTACCCTCCCCCCACTAAGCTGGTTGTGCCCAGCAGCTTAAACCTGAATAAGGGAACACATGCATGCTTCCATCCTTTCACGAAAGGCAAACGCCTTCATGATAACCAAATGCCACAACAAAATGCCAATCCATTCACTGATTTTCATGGCAAATCTCCACAACGTGTACCTTGGATTAACATTCATTTCGCTTCACTGCATTGCCATTCCGATCACCGTCTCCTGCACAAATGTCATGTTCGCTTTGCAAGGAGATAACACCGCATGGTTCCACGCTGTATGCAGTATCACATCTATCTAACCCATTAACTTTTTACACGACTAATCGCGACCCGCGCTTGATGTATTTGCGTTCGTTTTTATTTTTTTGCCCCGACTTGTCGTCTGCAAAGTCGATCGTGCGATTCGAGTCGCTTGCCTCTCGACCGCTGCCTCGCGCGGCCAAGATGTGTATGTATCTCTTGCGAACGTCGAACGCTGTGCGTGGCTGCGAGCAGCGATAGAGACTCCCCGGAACATTGACTTTAAGGACATCAGGGAGACATCCGTCGTCGTGGCCTGGATCGCTCCGTCCGCCGACGCAGACAGCTTCAAGATCGCTTACGTCCCAACGGCTGGAGGTGTGCTAGCATAGGCGGTGCTGGGGGGGTCGGTGAGTAGGGGGGGGAGGTCTAGGGGGAGAGGGGTGGTCCGGGGGGGTAGAGTGGGGGGGGATAAGGGGAATAATAGATTTGAAGCTTTCGTGACTGCAGGAATCCATACTCTTTGGTTCTTTCCGTAAAGTCACGTAGGTATAAAATAAATCACGACGTTTCGGGCGCAACACAAGCGTCCATCATCAGGTGGGAAAGCAAAGAGTATGGGTATAATAGACTGAAGATCCGGTTACCACCTTCGTTAAGTGGCAAATAAAAAAGAAATCCCGCTGATGGGACTGCTGCAGAAGCTGTGAACCACCGCCAAGTGGCCCAAATTCAAGAGAGATGGCAGCAAGGGACTCGTTCAGCCGTCGCATGGCTTTCAAACTTGGATGTATAGAAGAACCCTGAGGGCGATATTGACGAAGAGTGGACTCCCTCAACTAAACACTCTTCCCATGTGAACAGGGGCTGTAGGAGCCAGTTGATTTGTTTTATTGTAATGGGATAATGGCTGTGGACCCAGTGAACTGCGTTTCTTAAACGATCCTGGGTCTCTGCTCGATCAGCTCAGCCTTAAGTGAGTAACTGGTGTGGTTTGTAGCATTGGAACATTACCCTTTGACTTTTGCTAAATACAGTATGCTCGCTGAAAACGGGTCACATACCAATACCCGCCAATCGCCACTAAGTGACGGTGATGCCACCACTCCGTTTGTGCCAGGCGAGGTGCACTTCGAGGCCACGTGAAGTGTCGAAGGCTCGCTGGCAGGAGGTCACGGAACAGACCCAGGTGGAATGGGTTCAGCGACTGATATGACTGGCAGATGCACCAGCTGTTCCTCCAGGAACAGGAGACTACTGCGGGTCACATGCCCCCAGAGCCTCTGACGCTAACGGGGAGGGATCTTTGTCGTGATGTGGCAGGCGAGCCCGAGAGCCGGCGGGTGGCTTCGTCGCTGACGGAGGTCATGCTGACCCGCCTGACCCCCGGCACGGAGTACGAAGTGAACCTTATCAGCGTCAAGAGCTTCCAGGAGAGCGATCCCCTTATGGGGACCTTCACCACCCGTACGTCCGCAGAGCCCTTCACACATCCACTCCCTTCCCCTCCCTCTTTTGTTTGAGATTACAAAAAAAAGTTTAACTGGCTGAAATAATTACAGCTCACAATTACAGGGTGCTTCGAAAAAGTGTTAACACTTTCTGGGACAATCGTTTTTAATGGAAAAATAACATGATAACAAATGTATGTTAATAGCTTCAAAAAGTAAAAAATCTGCACTTGTTCACCACATTATCAACACGTGCCTGGAATCTTCTCCAGGTGGTCTCCATAGCCCGGAGGCACATTTATTGTGGTATTGTTGCAAATTCTCAGAAGTATTAACATTTTTTTGAAGCACCCTGTATTATCATCAACCATGGTCAATCCTTTGCTGGATGAAGACCTCCCTCACTGAACCTATGACACCCAATATACATAGCAAACAATCAATTATCACACGTACAAATTGACGCACGTATCATAAACATCGCGCAGGTACGATTTGACTCGCCAATGAATCGACGCATCGTCGCATAACTCGAGAATGACACTGACCGATCGTCCGCTCGCAACAACAACAACAAAATTCCATCCAGCTCGCATCCGTCGGAATAATGCAATCTCGGCAGCGGCGGCGACGAGGATGTTTGATGGGCAAGCAAGCGCGTGGGTACGGTTGCGAGCAGGTGAACGTCATGCGAGCGCCGCGGGGTGCTGTGTGTTGCAGTGCTGGGTAGCCCGTCCGTTCTGAGCGCGGAGGATGTCACCGACAGCTCGGCCCTGCTCAAGTGGAAGCCCACGATAGGCCCCGTGGACACCTACTCGCTCACCTACAGCTTCGAAGATGGTGAGCAAATGCATCCAATATTTTTAAAGCATCACCACTCGCCCAGAGAGTGATAATATCCCATTCGTTTGGGATAGAAACAAGAAAAATAGTGCGTACACATGGAACATGCAATGCTTTCCAACGTGTGTTTTGTTCTTGGAAGTATTTAATCAGCAGCATGGAAGACGAAGGATATCTTTTGGGCCAAAAAACCTATGCATTCTTGCAAATACTCTCGACATTTTTGCGCTTTTTTCTGCCTCAAAGTTGTAGGAAACCCGATGATCAATTTGGCCAGTTATTAATACAACTTTACAGTAAGGTTTCGTTCACATTGGATCATCTTTACCAGAGTTATCGTGCCTCCCCGTTACGGACGGACAGCCGGACACAGCTACTGCATTAATGCTTTCGACCTCAATCGTCGTAAACTTTGCCCATCCTTTTCATTGCATCCTCTTCTCGTGGCAATGTCCATTTGTTGTCCTTCCCCGTACGTTGCGAAATAAGTTCTACATACTCTTAGGTTTTTCGGTAAAGTCACGTAGGTAAAAAATAAATAATAAAAAGAGATAATAAAAATAATAGAAGAAATAATAGAAATAAAATAATAAATCACGTTTCGGAAGGCAACACAAGCTTCCGTCTTCAGGTGGAACCGTCACAGCACGATTGCTGTATCCTCTTTACTTGCTACAGCAATCGTGCTGTGATGGTTCCACCTCGTTGTGATTTCTTATTTTATTTCTATTCTATTTTTATAATTTATTTTTATTACTTATTTTTTACCTACGTCACTTTACCGAAAAAACCTAAGAGTATGAATTCTTGCAGTCACGAAAGCTTCAAATCTAGAAGTTCTACATACATATGTCAATCACAACACATTATTATGTCACTGCTCCACCACTCCCCCCACCACCACCACCACCACCTGCGGTCATAATTCACCGTTCCATTGTGGCTCTCTACCCTCGCCCCCAAATTAGGAGAGCCCGTGACCGTCACCGTTTCGGGCGGCACGGTTGAATACCAGCTGACCGACCTGAATCCCGACACGCCGTACATCGCCAAGGTTCGCGCGGTCAAGGGAGCCCAGCAGAGCGCGGACACGGCGGTCGCCTTCGTCACCGGTGAGCGACGGACGCGGCCCGTGCGCCGAATGCCACTTAGAGGTTGCCACCTGGCCCGGTTTTCTCAGGATCGCCCTCTTGCGGAGGTAGATAATGATGATGATAATGGCTTTCATATTTATCCAGGGGGCGGTGTGGTCTCCCAAATTGGATATTTTCTAAGTAAAAAAATGTGGACGATGACACCGGCGCACATCATGGGCTATGCTCTTTCGAATAATGTCATGGAATCTTCAACACGTAGGCTAAGATGTTTTCTTGTTCATGTTTTTGTTTGTTGCGGTTGCACCCGATTCAAGAGCCGAATGGCTCACAGGGCTATACCTAATAAATGAACTTTGAACTTTTCACGACCAATATTATCCGTGATAGAGATTTTGTTGGGTTAGATAGAATTGTAAATGTTGTGGGTTTACTCTCGAACACACCGGTGTGCTGAACTAGTAACTAATTGGGATGTTTTGTTTACGTGACAAACTTTACTAAATGGCTGTGTTCGGTGGTGGCGGGTTTAACGACACATTTATACTGGTAGGAACGTCCTGGTTACACCAGCCCACAGGGGATTATTGCGTCCGTCGTGCAGGGAGGGGCTGGGTGGGGAAGGAGGGGCTGGGTGGGTGGGGAGGGTGGGGAGGGGCTGGGTGGGGAGGGTGGGGCTGGGTGGGGAGGGTGGGGAGAGGCTGGGTGCGGAGGGTGGGGAGGGGCTGGGTGGGGAGGGTGGGGTTGGGTGGGGGGTGGGAGGGGTGGGGCTGGGTGGGGAGGGGCTGGTCACCCCGTGGTGCCCTTATAAAACTCAACGTTTAACCTACTCACGCCGGCTTGTGCTCGCCCTCACAGTCGGGCATATTTGCGGAATACACCACGCCGCCGTTGACCCTAGCCATTGACCGAGCAACCCAACGTTCCTACCAGCTCCCTCCGCAGGAATGTGTTATCTTGGGATTTAGCCAATTTCAGTGCAGAACCAATTGTTATATTGCGCGTTTTTTTTGTGCAGTTATTCTTCACTGGGCTGATATCATCAATTGTGCACTATCCCTTGAGAACCCATTGTAATCACAGGTGACTGCCAGCATTTGAATATAAGATCTGAACAGCTTTTGCCTCAACTACGCAGTCATGTGTTTTATTTTTTTATCGGTAACATTTCTATCATGTTACACATTTGAATAATCTTTCCTCTGTGACATCTGGTCGTAATGAAAAAGCGGCAGTACATTTCTCGCATTTAATCGCTGACATCTGGCCACGTGAAAGGAACGCACCATGTGTTACGGATGTTATCCACTCGGGATGTATCAATCATCCCCTCCACTATTCATCGTATGGTCACGATTCAGCATCAGGATTCAATTTATGAGCGTGTAATTTTTTTTTGCCATGGTGGTGCACAGAGAATATGTGGTGATGAATATATATAATTTCAATAATTTAGTCGTTTGTCAATTCACTGCTGAACGAAGGCCGCCCCCGATGCCGTGGTCAGTCATGGGGGTTGTTTAATGATACTTCACTTTCGGCAACCGACGCTGACCAGTGTGGTGAAGTATGGTTAAACAAACCTCCCTGCCTGGCACGGCACGGAGAGGCCTTCATCCAGCAATGGCTTGAGAAAGCATAGTAAATGATCTGTTGCGATCAGCGGCTTGTCGAATAGTGTTGGTGCAAACTGCATAACAAATTCGAGGATCGCTGACCAAAACCTGGTGAGGATGACGATGACGACGACATTATACAGAGCAAAATCCGTAAGTATATATGTTGAACTTCTTTCGCACCGTACGTAGCCAGCAGTGCTAATTGGAGGTGCCGGGAAAGGACAACAAAACTAAACACAAAAATCTGTTTTAAATAAATGAGTTTTCAATCTAGATTTGAAAGTGTACCAGCTCCAGTGGGCTTCCTAATATCGGAAGGAAGAGCGTTCCAGACGACCGCAGAGGCGCATCCGAAAGCGCCGCGTGATGCGGTGACCGTCCTTGTTCGATTGCCAGCCAAAATCCGCCCCTGCTGCAAGGGTGAGCAGAGTTCGCCGCGGTGGTGAATGCTCCTTGACGAGGTGCTCAGCAAGCTATTGTGGTTCATTTGTGGCAACGTTGTTGAACGATGATTATTGAACCGTTGCGAGCAGCCCGAAAGAAGACGAGCTTCCCCATGGACTGCAGCGAGGCCTTGCAGGGCGACCAGGCCAGCGGCGTGTTCACCATCTTCCTGAATGGCAACGCCAGCCAGCCACTGTCGGTCTACTGCGACATGACCACCGATGGCGGAGGATGGATCGTGAGTGGCCATTTTTCTCAACTGGGGTTGTTTTTTGTTGTTATTTTTTTCTTCCTCTTCCTCACAATAATTTAAATTTCCCTGACGGAAGTTGTACAGAAAATGATTTGGCATTGCGACGGGGCACGTTTAATTCATCGGCAACTCAAAAAGAGCCTTTTGCGTGACATTTCGTCTCACAAGGGGACCCTCCCTCCCTAGTGGCAGCTGTCCCCGTGCAGCACAAGGTGTAGACACAGTTATCAGAGGGCCGCAGGGTTGCTGCGGTCAGTCCATTGATGTACTGCAGTTATATGCTCCCCGACTCCACCGACCCCCCCTATTGACCGTTGTGGTGAAATATGGTCAAACAAATCCCACGACACCATACGAACTTGTGAGGGCCCTCATCCGGCAGTGTAGAGACAAAAAGGCTGTAAATGTCAAATGTTACATCTCGGAATCTTTGGAGTCGACCAACCGACTCCCAAGTGTTTCCGACTGACGTACGCGGCATTGCCTTGACATTCATTCAGAACGGTTCGCTAAGCGCAGCGTTTCATGTGCACTCACACAGGTCGTACAGAGGCGTCAAAACGGGCTCACGGACTTCTTCCGTAACTGGAAGGCGTACGAGAAAGGCTTTGGAGACATCAACGATGAATTCTGGCTCGGTAAATATCATCTCGGTCATTAGCCTCCGTCACCCGAAATGCACCCCATCTGATAATTTTTTGGAAGCCGCGCAGAGAGTTAAACACTGCTGCCGGTGCTACGTCGGAAGAGAAGGCTGCAGCAAAATCCACTGTTGTACTGTGATTCTATCCCCCCCCCCCCCAACCTGCATTGACCAACGTGGTGAAGTATGTTCAAATTATCCTTACGACCTGCACGGCATGTGGTGGGGCGGGGAATCCTCATCAAGTGGTGGATTTACAAAAGGGCTTAGTTTTATGGTGTCGGACTCAATTTGATATGTGGTGCGGAGCACTGTTAAGCATCATCCGTTGACTAATGTACTTTGCGTTTACAGTAGCAACGTGCATCTCTATAAACGTGCGTTTTAGATTATTTGGCTGCTGTAATTTTCCACGCGATAAGCCACGTCTCGTTGGGCTGTCGCTTGTGGCCAGATCGCTTCTCAAAATAGATCTGCATAGCTTAGTGGGCCTTACCTGGTAAAATAAAATATATAGTTTATTAGTTTAGTTTAGTTTACTCGTTATTGGTTTTACATTGTCTGGCAGTAAAACAGGTGTTAAATGTTCAAACACCAAATATATAATTAGGTCAATCAGTTTGAAAGACAATGCATATCTAAGTCAGAGCGTGTTTGTTGCCATGTTTTTCCACAAGGACTCTGTGTGGTTAATGCGGGCTCGATTCCTTGCTGAAAGGGGGATCTATTTGGTGTTCGAACATCATAACACCTCCTGTTTTATTGCCAGAAAGGGTAGAACCAATTCTTCTTACTCTTTGGTTCTTTCGGTAAAGTCACGTAGATAGGAAAGTAAGTAATATATCACAACGTTTCGATTGCAACAACAAGCGACCGTCTTCAGGTGAGAGAGAGAAGCGTGCCATTGTGACGAGAATGCCTGCAGTCACGAAAGCTTCAAATCACAATTCTTCTCATTATACATTTTTCAAACTTTGATGCTGGCAAAAAAGGTCCCATAGATATAGTTTACTCATCACTGTGTGAGTTAATTTTTGATTTAAAGCTTTCGTGACTGCAGGGATTCATCTTCTTGGTTCTTCCGGTAAAGTCACGTAGAAGGGAAATAATAAAATAATAAAAATCAAACATAATAAAATAATTCTCACGACGTTTCGGCCACAACGCAAGCAGCCGTCCTCAGGTGAAGAACAGGTCTGTTGGAAAGACAGCGTCCGAATGACAGCCCTGTTCTTCACCTGAGGACGGCTGCTTGCATTGTGGCCGAAACATCGTGAGAATTGTATTTTATTATGTAAATTTTTTATTATTTTATAATCTCCCTTCTACGTGACTTTACCGAAAGAACCAAGAAGACTGTGTGAGTTTTCACGGGTTATACGGTCATAGTTCTCCCGATGCGTTTTCGGGGTCGTGCTCGCGCGTGCGGTGCGGGGGGGGAGGGTACAGCAAGCCCCGAAGCCACACGTTAGTGGCTAGGTCGGGGTGGGGAGGAGGGGGGCTTCACATCCTCGCCCTCGTCGCTGCGACATCCCCGCAGGCCTCCAGAACATCTTTGCGCTGACGTCGCAAGGGCGCTACGAGCTGCGCGTGGACCTGCGGGACGGCGAGTGGGGCGCCCATGCCGTGTACGACCACTTCTCCGTGGCCAACGCCAGTGGCCTCTACCGGCTCAAAGTCGGCGAATACAGCGGGACGGCCGGTGAGAACAGCGCCCCGCCCCCCGCCCGCTCGGAAAGAGATCGACAGAATTATCCACCCCGCCGTCTCCCGCCACCCCCCCAAAAAATAAATAACACTTGTTCGTCCAGCGACGTTTCAGAGCAGCCTCTTAGTGCTGGGTGGGGGTGGGGGGGGAGTGGGCGGTGAAAGAGGCACGAGTCCCCTCTGCTGAATGGTTCAAGTCACCCTTTTTTACATTAATGTGCGAATCTTCGTTTGATATTAAAAAAAACTCCACGGAAGTTGGGGGGGGGGCTGTACAAAAAGCCTCGTAGTATTTGTTGAACTTCTTTCACACCGTACGTAGCCAGCCATGCCACACGGAGGCAGAGTAGAATTAAGCGACGGGCATTGCCGCCTTGCCTCGTACGCACAGGGAGAGTGGGGTGAGGTCGAGAGAAAAATGCACAACAGACGAGCGCAGATGCTGTCGTTACTTACTCACTCTGCTTAGAGTTTAACATCCCTATTAAGTTTGTTAAGCATTGACTGCAGTGCTCGTGTTGTGCACCCCCCGCCCCAGTTTTTTGTAAACAAGGTCGCGTTACGGGGCTGTCTCAGGATTTCTTACGTGCGTGACGTTGAACTTCTTTCGGCCCCGCACGTAGCCAGCCATGCTAATCGGAGGTGCTTGTCACTTTCCTGTGCTCCCCCCTCCGTCCCCCCGCCATCCACCCCCCGTGGTCCCTACGCAGGAGACTCGATGACCTACCACGAGGGCCGTCCGTTCTCGACGGTGGACCGGGACAACGACGTGGCCATCACCAACTGCGCCATCTCCTACCACGGCGCCTGGTGGTACAAGAACTGCCACCGGGCCAACCTCAACGGCAAATACGGAGACAAAAGCCACAGCCAGGTGCGGGCACGTCGCTCGGCTTCGCGGCACGGCCACCGATCACGCCGCCAAAACAACGGCCGTTGCCATCAAACCTGTTGGGTTTTTTGTTTTCACTGCGGTACAATTCAATGCCTTCGTCAGAAGCGGGGAATCAGAATAGTTATTTATGCCGGAGGAATTCGATGAACTATGAAGCGCTTTTCCGCAGATGTGCAGTAGGGGCGTGAAATGAGCGTTACAACAAACAATACAAAAAACATGATAGGAGTGCAAAGTATAGGAAAAGGTTAACAAATCACGAAAAAATACGTGCAAAAAGAAATAAAAATTTTCGTCAAACCCACGCTGACCTGGGTGGTGAAGTGTGGTCATAAACCTCTGTGGAGGAAGCCGTTATCGACCAATTTATTGACAAACGAGCTGTATCTGTAAGTGTGCGTATTTTGTTTCGGATTGATATTTGTTTTGGAAATCAATATGGGTGACGAGAGTGGCGCTCCGTGTCGTAATCACGTGGTGGGATACCCAAGAAGTAACCTTCTTTGTGACGCTTTTCAAATAAGATTGAAAGAGTTGACGCATCAATAACGTTCATCTGTGTGTTTGCCTGTAACATGGGGTCGTGGTAACCCTCATGAAGGTGATCCAACGTTCATGAAATGTTAGTAAACAGTTGTGTTGCTCTTCAGGACTCACCCTCGAAGAACACGTGGTACATTAATCAAAGGGTTGCATAACAATTAACAATTTAAAAAAACGATAATGGGAAGCCTTCTTAGCCAATGTGATGGCATCGCAAAGAATCATGTCCTTAAATTTCGATTTAAAGCTTTCGTGACTGCAGGGATTCATATTCTTGGTTCTTTCGGTAAAGTCACGTAGAAGGGAAATAATAAAAGAAAAAAATTATTTTAATAAAAAATATTATTTTCTTTTTTATTAATTTCCCTTCTACGTGACTTTACCGAAAGAACCAAAACATGATCATGTCCTTGCCTGCAAAAATGTCATGATGCGTGATTTCCCGCACCTCCGATTTGCACGGTTGCCTACGTACGGTGCGATAAAAGTTCAACGTACATACATAAGTATCACGAATCATTTGTCCCTAATTCGTGAATTTGAAACGAGGATCTCAGCAGTGGCAGCTAATCGCGCTGACCTCTAAAACACCCAGCCATCACTTAGGGTTTTGATCTGCGTTAACTTAACATAATACACTCCGATTCCTAGAATTTGTGACATTGCTAAGATGTTCGTAGGCTATGTCCAATGTTGAAGTAAGGACAATGACGATTTATCCTAAATAAAAACTTTACGAACAAATACTTTGGCTTTAAATATCATTGAAAAGGTGTCTACGACGCGAACGTTGTCAACTTTTCGCGCATTTTCATTTCTCACCCCACCGTGTAGCTACATTCGCTTGTCGTTTTTTTGTTTGTTTCGTTTTCTCCGATAACAGGGCGTCAACTGGTACCACTGGAAAGGCCACGAATACTCGGTTCCGTTTGTGGAGATGAAGATTCGCCCGTTCGCCGCCGCCAAGAGGGGCAGCAGACAGCACCTGCGGAATTAGACGTGGGCGTCGATTGAGCATGTGGGTTGGCTACGTACGATGAAAAAGAAGTTCAACGTACTTGCATTCATTGAAGGAAGAGATGCCCCTGCCCCTGCACCCACCGCCCCCCTCCCCAAAAAAAAAATTACGAAACAGCTTTTTGCCTTTTGTAGACACACAGACACGGAGCCTGTAGGTCCGACGTGAGATTGAAGTTTGTCAGCGAGTGAAATACTTTCGAATTACTCTTTTGGCATGCCGTCGTAGTGGCATTGCAGTGACATCGTAGTAAAGTGTAAATCAATTCGAACAACACGCTCCGCACAACCTGAGAACACATCGGAGAGCTGTTCACTTATGTCGCAGCGCGATCATGAGGTCAAATTTTAGTTTTTCATTAACGAAGCTTCAATCTCGTGCCGGGCAGCCCAGGTGAACACAGCTCCTAGCTACGTAGGTGAGTAATATCTGCGAAATGAGAGCTGTCCGGCTCTCAGATGTGTTTTCAGGCTGTACCATTTGTCATTTGGTATCATGTCCGTCGTTTTACGCCACGTTCTGAGACCTTATCCAGGGACAAAATTGAGCATCTCCCGTTCTACCTTGATTACGTAAACGTCACCGGCTGCTGACGATCATCGTCAAGAACCAGCCACATGAGCGGCACTCCAGCGACGCTCTATAATCAAGGGAGAACGGCGATCTGTGCTCAATTCGGTTCCCGGAGAAGCTCCCAGCACGTGGAGCGAAACGTCGGACATTATCCCAAAGTACAACGCGGCAACGACCCGAAAACAAATCGCGGTGATCTGTCCAACTCGACCGCGATGACCTACGCAGTCGAATAACAGCTGATTTGCTTTCTGTAGAGTTGTCTTACGGACAGTGCTGACGGTTGACCGACACGTTGGGTTCCACGTTGAAAGTCAACGGGTCAACAATTACACATCATGCATTCGGGTATTTTTGGTTTTGTTTTTTAAACGTCACGCGCAGCGTCCGTGAGTCGTATCATCAGACTAGCTTGCTGCCAGCACTGCGCTCTAACAGTTGACAAAGAGATTTGAAAGATCAGTTTATATATTATTAACAAGCATAGAGACATTACTTTATTACGACGAAATGTTTCATTTATGTTGTTTCATTTGGGTCAACTCCGTCTATGTTATTTTACCAATCAGAAGCAAGGAACGGAGAGTTTAGATACACGATCAAACCTCTAGCTTGGTGACTGCCCACCATCCAATTGCTTCTGTTGTTATACGATGTTATTTCATGTAGTATTGAGAGAGTTTATTCAATAGAGTGTATTACATTATATTCAGTATCCAAAAGAATCGACATTTTTTGTCATCTGTGTCCTAGAATAAACACGTTTGCTTTTTGCAAGACATTGATACTTAACCCCTGCATAGACGCCTCTGACGGGTTAAAAGTTGTGAATGGTGCTAGAAAAAAAAGTGATTACAAATTTCACACTGCCTGAACTCACCTTCGCTTACTCTGGCTAAGATATTTGCTGTTTTGAGAATATTTTTACCAATGCACTGTACATAAAAGAGATGCTTATATAAACGGTCAGTAAACAAAACTTGTGAAACTCATAGCTTTGTATTGCAATATATTTTAATTTTGAAAAACAAATCTTAATTATATATATCTCTCTCTTGGAAGAAAAAAAATTCGACTTAACATGTTTAAGATTAAGAAGTTTAAGATCGGCATTACTGCAGCTCGAATTTTGGAGGGCATTGTCAAGAGGTTACTGTGGTGCCAAAGCTTTTTTTTGTCTTGTATTTAAGTAAATGTATATGAATAAATTGGTTAAGTCCCTTGGAGTTAAAACTATATCCAAATTGGAACATTTTCAGTTTAATTGCTCTATATGCTGTGGATGTGTTTCAAGAAGGGGTGGAATGATTTACCCGCCGCTGGCAATTCAATGACTTCTCGTGAACTGCCACCTCCAGCGGCTGCAGGAGTGACATTGATTTTTACGTGTGCTTCAAAATGTATCCCATGAATCGATGTATCATCCCACCCTTAAATTCGAGACACTGGCGATGTTGTCAAGCTTAAAGTTAAGTACCAGCATTTTACTTGCTGGAAATCTGCATTTTATCCAGTAGAATGTCAGTGTTTATGCCATCAGACCTGTTATGTTTTTTTGAATAATCTTAAGATGCCTCTCATCATAAATGCTCCTGTTTGAATGAAATGCTTTATTAAATCAACATCGGCTTCATATTCCCTGTACAACAGTGTATTGCAATAAATGGGAATGATCCTCAACAATGTTGTGTTTGTTACATCATTGTTATTGTTTTATGACTGTGGATGTGAACGTGTTTTTGTTTACAGAGGCCTTTAGTACCACCACGACGCTCTGCAAGGCTACCGAGTACCCAGGACTCACCCTGGGGAACACGTTTGTGTTAATGAGTTCGAAAGCAGAATGACAATTTCTCAATACATCACCAGCACTTTGAATAGAAGTGAGTTTTAGTAATACCGTTTTGATTACAGAAGGGTTTGTTACACAATGGCTACTATTAATCTTCTTGGTTCTTTCGGTAAAGTCATGTAAAAGGGAAATAATAAAATAATAAAAATAAACCAATAAAATAATTATCACGACGTTTCGGCCACAACGCAAGCAGCCGTCCTCAGGTGAAGAACAGGTCTGTCGGAAAGACAGCGTCTGAATGAACACCACCAAGCTTGGCAGCGTATATTTAAGCTGGGTTAGAGGAGGAGGGCGCCTTGACAAAGGAATTTACATATCAACAGAGGAATGTATCATAAATTTTGATTTAAAGCTTTCGTCACGTAGAAAGGAAATAAAATAATTATTCCCCTTCTACGTGACTTTACCGAAAGAACCAAGAAGATGAATTTAGCATATTTATGAAAAATGCAGATATGGGATAAGTCACTACTTGTGGAATGTGTAGGTGGTGGGGAGGTCTCAAAGTCATATTATGCTCGTGTATTATGTAGAATTAGCAGTCATAAAGGGAGGAAGTAGGATTAGCAGTAATAAAGGGAGGGAATTTTTAATAGTAAGGAGCTGCAGCAGCCGTGTGTTCATGACAGAGACCATCCCTCTCGCCGACATGCTGCGTCCTGCGGATGGTGGGCTCACAGGACGGGTGCCAACGTAGCGAGTTCGGGCCGGGCCTGACCTGGCCACGTGGGGTCAGCCGGCCACCGGGCGCTTTGCCGGCGAACATCACCGCCGGGCCGGGCTCCGGGCGGGTGTGTCACGCAGGGGTCGGGTTAAGACGCGGGGCTTTAGGGGCCGTCCATTAAAGACGTCACGCACCTAGGGTGGGGTGGGGTCAGACATTTGTGACGATGTGTGACGAGGTGGGGGGGGGGGGTGAGAAATGTGACGTCACATCAAAATGCGCAGCTTAAAATAAATATAAATATAGACAACACGTTCTACTATAAATGAGAAAACATTTATAAAAAAAGCATATTTAATTAACACGTTCTACTTAATTCAATATGCTTTTTTTTTATAAATATATTCTCCTACAACATCAGAGTGCAGCGCCACATTAAATACGCACTACAATGACAATAGTTTAAAGCGATTTGAAGCATGTTTTATATTTTGAGGGGGGGGGAGCAGAGCTTTGTGACGTCATATTTGAGGAGGGGGTCTGACTTTTTGTGACGCCGTGTGACGAGGGGGGGGGGTCAAATATCGTCCAAAATCGCGTGACGTCATTTATGGACGGCCCCTTAGGGGCTGCAAGCCCAGGGGCCTCCGTCAGCTGGAGGACCTCCAGAGATTCAGTGAATGCTGCAATTTTATTTGTTGTTAGCCTTGTAAAAATAAATTAGATTTTTCTTCAACTTTGTTTTCCTTTTCAAAATAATACCGGGAGCCTCACAGTACGTGTAGCACAGGGGCCTACACAATCTTAATCCGGCCCTGGTGTCACGGTGTCCCTTTTTCCGGGCGAGATTCTCTGATTTTAGTGCTTTGAGACCATTCATGATGTGGCTCTTGTTTGGGACCGTTAATTGTCTGGAACCTCCCCTCCAGACCTGTTCGCCAATGGAGACCCGACCAGGAGTGCAAGACTCCAGGCGACGTAGCTCTGAGGTTCATTTAAACACACAAACTCCACCACCACGACATCGCTGTCAACCCACACCGGTTCACACCGTATTCGTGTACAGGGAAATTGAGTTTTCAGGCCCATACGACGTACAGCCGTTTCAATACGATCAACAACAAAACACATTTCTATTTCAACTTAAAGTAATCGTGACTGCAGGGATTCATCTTCTTGGTTCTTTCGGTAAAGTCACGTAGAAGGGAAATAATAAAATAATAAAAATTAAACATAAAATAATTCTCACGACGTGTCGGCTACAACGCAAGCAGCCGTCCTCAGGTGAAGAATGAAACACCACCAAGCTTGGAGCGTATATTTAAGCTGCTTGTGTTTCATTCTTCACCTGAGGACGGCTGCTTGCGTTGTAGCCGACACGTCGTGAGAATTATTTTATTATGTTTTATTTTTATTATTTTATTATTTCTCTTCTACGTGACTTTACCGAAAGAACCAAGAAGAAGACATTTCTATTTGTTTGGGTTTCTCCCTTGTGAGGGGGGGTCTGACTTTTGGATGAACGCTGAGATTTATAAGGGACGCGGGGTGATCAAAAAGGGTCTCAATTGGTCTGTAAGAAGGTAGGGACACTGATAAAGAGATGACAGGTATGCCACGATATGGTGTACGATCCGACGGTGGGGATGCCAATAAGTTCAGGAGGTAAATGCCAATGTCGAGGTCTGCTTGGCCACCACTAGAGGGCTTCGGAAGAGCGCTCGTGTCGTGTTCCTGCTCCGTTGAAGGAGCGCTGACTGCGGTGGTTTACTGCATGGTTCACAGCAAGGCCGTAATTAAATTGGGGGACACACATCCCCAATATCTTCTTGGTTCTTTCGGTGAAATCACGTAGAAGGGAAATAATAAAATAATAAAAATAAAACATAATAAAATATTTTATTATTATATTATTTTATTACGTAGAAGGGAAATAATAAAAGAATAAAAATAAAGCATTTGAAAATAATATAATAATAAAATATGTTATTATGTTTTATTTTTATTACTTTATTATTTCCCTTCTACGTGACTTTACCGAAAGAACCAAGAAGATGAATCCCTGCAGTCACGAAAGCTTTAAATCGAAATTATTTTATTATGTTTTATTTTTTTTATTTTATTATTTCCCTTCTACGTGACTTTACCGAAAGAACCAAGAAGATGAATCCCTGCAGTCACGAAAGCTTTAAATCGAAAAATAATAATATTTTTTTTTTTATTGTTTCCCTTCTACGTGACTTTACCGAAAGAACCAAGAAGATGAATCCCTGCAGTCACGAAAGCTTTACATCGAAATTATTTTATTATGTTTTATTTTTATTATTTTATTATTTCCCTTCTACGTGACTTTACCGAAAGAACCAAGAAGATGAATCCCTGCAGTCACGAAAGCTTTACATCGAAATACATCCCCAATATTCAAATATGTATGCTCAAAATGTCCCCCCAATATATTGCTATAAAAAATATATAATTGTTATGCAGTGTAAATAAAAACACCAATTTGCTAAACCTTGGCCACAATATCTGGACTTGTCTTCATATAAATCAATGCATAGATTTATGTTTATATGATTGCGGTTATTGTTGTACTTTATTAACCCCTAATCTCTGCCATTACATAAAATGAAACAAGCAATGGTAATAAAGTAAGAACAGAGCAATGTAATAGAATAAATAAAAAGCCCATCCCATGTGTTAGTAACAAAAAAATTTAGGCAGGAAATTAGTTTTCAAATGTAGATATTTTTCTGGGTTGGGACCCCCAGACACCCTGGAAGATTTGGTCCCCCCCCAATGTTGACTCCATGGCTACATCCTTGGTTCACAGTTTGGGTTGCATGGCCACAATCACACTGCCTTGTCTTTAACTTTACTGCGTATGCTACCCGATTCTGCAAACAATCGTGCTGTATTAGTATACACTCACATTGCGAGTAATGTACAGGGTGGGAAAGTCCCTACATCTTTACCTGCAGCAGTCATAACACGTTTTCAAGCCAGGGACTTCTATTATATATTTCGCACACGCCATCCCTCTAGAGCAATAGTCTAGGCATTCCAGTGGGACGTTTTAAATTAATTTAAATAATGAAAGAGTCGTGTCCGGAAGACCTGCCTTCGATACCTGATTGTGACTCTCACCCTTGGCGAATTATACCCCCCCCCCCCCCTTGTTCACCAACTCGCACGAAACAAGCGTGGTGAAGTATGGTGAAGCAACATCCAGGGCATCCGATTAGCACGGTTGGCTACGTACGGTGCGAAAGAAGTTAAACATACAGAGAGCATGGCAGGGCGTACAGCAGTGGATTTAAAAACGCTGAAAAATATAATTGTAATAAGAATTGTTCAATATAACCACAAGGTGGCGTCCGTCGTCCAGAATCTGCATGGGAGGATCAGTTTATATTCTGTATTTTTTTCCACTATGAAATTTAATGCGTAAGCAAATTCATAGTGTCTATATAGTTTCAGCATGTTGGCACAGGATATATGGGCAAAAATTGCAGTGGACACCTACGGGCTTTTTGCCCATGGAGTTTGATGATGGTATAAACATAAACGTCGGTTGGCTACGTACGGTGCGAAAGAAGTTAAACATACAGACAGCATGGCAGGGAGTGCAAGCAGCGGATTTGCAAATGATGAAAATTAAAATTGTATTCACAATAGATCAATATTACCACAAGGTGGCGTCCGTCGTCCAGAGCCTGCATGGTGGGGATCAGTTTATATTCTGTATTGTTTTCCACTATACAATTTAATGCGTAAGCAAATTCATAGTGTCTATATAGTTTCAGCATGTTGGCACATGATATACGGCAGTGTAAACAAGTGACAAACATTGCAATGGACACCTACGGGCTTTTTGCCCATGGAGTTTGATGATGATGATATAAACACAAACTTCGGTTTAACACTTAGGCTTTCCCGACCAATATTAACCATAAGAGGTTTTTGGTTTTACTCTCCAACACACAAGCGGTGTGCTGAAATCGTAACGAATTGGCACGTTTTGTTAGCGTGACAAACCTTAAGAAATGGCTGTCTGGTGTTGGCGGGTTTAACGACACATTTATATTTACACGATCCAACCTAAAACCTCCGTTTTAAACAAACTTATTAACAGTGATATAAACTAGGCTGACACTAGTTTTACTACGTCAAACTATTTTACGTAACTTTCTTTGTTGTTGAAATGCTGGCCGAATATATTTTTCCCCTGCAGTGTCATTAATTTTTTTCCCTCCACAACTTTATTGCGATTGTGCTATAGCGGTGTTATTTCCGGAGACAAAGCAACTATTCGGATCTCACCCAAAACCAATTACATCCTTTCGTCTTAGCGAACGGCCCGCGGAAGTGAATACCACAGAACTACCGTGACATTCCTTCATGTGACCTCTGTACCACACAAGCCGAGGGCAAAACTCTCCCACCCGTCCCTGCTACTGACACTTAATCCGTTATTGTGAATTCTGAGAGCTGATTTTTTTTGTTCCAAAAATAAGTGCAGAATCAAGTTACATTTCATTTTTGCGGTAATTGTTAACCGTTCTCACACTACATTTGAGAACGTAATTAAATCACCGGCTGGCCGAAACCTGGATTCGAACCTGGTTACAAAGCGGTGCCAGCTCAATGCTCTGACCTTTGAGCCCACCCGGTCATCTCTGACCTCTGAGCCCCACCACTATTTTTCTCCAATTAAGTTAGGACATCGTTTACCCAAATTCATTTGAGCGTAATTCTTTCACCCTTTTGATTGACATTTCCTTTGTTCCGTTTGGTTTTGCGTGGGACGATAACGGAATGTCCAGTGAACACCCATTCATACCAGGGGAGACCACTGCACAACATCACTGAAATTTATTGCATAAATGTGACATTGATTACAGTCTGCGCGTTATTGAAAGTATGCCTGGGTGCACAGAATACAAATCTCCTGTTATAGTAATCAGTAGAAGGTTTGCCGCGCTGTTTGGCTTTAAGGTCACACTTTTTTCTCTCAATAATTAAGATGTAAAACATCTTATAATTTTATATTTGAATTCATCTTCATGATCAGCCATTATTAATCCACCGCCGGATGAAGGCCTCCCCATGCCTTTGCAATCTATTTTACAATCCTACGATTTAATACTTAACCTAACACTTGCACACGAGCTGAACGCATCGCTCCGTCTCCTCTTCTGGAGGTGTTTAAATGCGTTTCATTCATTGATTACCAGCGCATTTTGAATTCGGCACCCGCTAAATGTCCAGATACAAACTATGGGCACCCCCCTAAGCTCAAGCACAAAAGCGTTCACTATTGGATGGGGGACAGCCTATATTATTTTATAATTTTAACATCTTGTGTTCAGAATCAGCAACCCTTCAAAAACCTCCAGATACTAACTTGCATCGCTCTACATTCAAACGCACAGCACGTGTTATGGCTTTGTCTCGATTTTTTTTGGGAGCTACAATTCTTTTGTACATTTGATGTTATTATTTTCTAATCTTATTGCGTACTGCACGTGAATTTTGCAACGTTGAAAACCTCCAGATTTTCTTTTTAATTAAACTATCCATAAAAAAGTTGGTTATTTTGTTGTTGGTCCTAAACTATTCGGGAAGGTCAAATGCGTAAAAATAAAACCAACCATATGTTTCTATTTATAACCACAAGAATCAACTGTATAGTTACGTAAATATTTTCAGCTTGCTATCCCTCTTTGAACATCAGTCTAACTTAGATCAAGACAGTCATGATGCACGCGCTAAATCGAGTGCTATTGAAATATAGCAGCAGCAGCAACAACAAGAACAGAATCTAAATGAAGTAAACACACGTCGCCGGCCTGAATGGCTTTGGCCCACTCTTGCTGGTGTTGTTGTCTCATTTTGAACCAAGAGAAAACACAAAAAAAACACATCTAAGGCGCGCATTCACATTTGTGTTGTGGCCAGAGCTTTGCGTTTGGGGTGAGAGGGCGGGGGGGGAGTTTGTAAGCTCTGGCGAGGTTTTTTTTCTCTCTAGGGGAGGGTTGGAGGATGGACTCTGGGAGGCGAGAGGGCGAGGGAGGGGAGGGGAGGGGAGGAGAGAGAGAGAGAAGAGATTAGCGCTGCTCCGAGTTCAAGAGACGAGTGGAACGATGGTAGCTTTACCGCTCCGACTACCATCATCATCATCACCATCATCATCATCACACTTCTCGTTCGGGGAGATGTGCCTCCGCACCCGCTCATGGGATGATGTAGCAGCGACCAGGAGCCGGGCTAAGCGTCCGGGCTGCGTTTGATTCAAGAGGAATAAGGCGACGAAGGATAGCGAAGGGAAGTGAGAGGTTGGCTGGCTGGCTGGCGGAGGCGGTGGTGTGGGTTCGAGATTGAAGGGGGTCGCCAGTGGCTGTGGGGAGACGGAATCGCTGTTGGATTCGCAAGCGACCTGGGCACGCTGACTGGCACGTACGCATTCGCTTATCCAGACACACGTGGTGGTCTCTCAATCACATCCACTTTACATGCTACGTAACACACACGACTTGTACACGCGCTGTGTACACACGTGTGCACTGCATTCATACGTGAAACAAACACACACACTACACATGCGCTATGTACGCACATGTGCAGTACATACACCTACATGACATTCATATACTACTTGTACATGTGCTGTGTGCACATGCACTACATTCATGTAACACACGCGACATTGACATACCGCATGGGCATGTGCTATGTACATATACACGCTATGTTCACATACATATATACGCTATGTACATTACATGTAGCATACTACATTCAAGCGCTACGACACGTATGACACATGTATGAATCTAGCGCGTGTAATGCGTGAACGGTATACGCGTGTCAATGTGTTTCATTGTGGTGTAACATGTCAATGTGTGTGTAACATACGTTTAACATGACAGAAGTATGCCCCGTGTATTTGAACATACGTAGCGTAGTGTGTGCTGTGTGTGTAGTGCGTGTTTATTGTATATGAATGCGTGTGAAATGTGTTTAAATGTAGCTTGTGTAACATGCCTTCATTTAGTGTGTGTGTGAATATTGTGTGAATGTATGTAACTGTTTCAAGACATGATAATCTTATGTTTACACGTTACACACACTTCACTCATACATGTAAATCACTACATTCACACACGTTGACACATCTAAACTGTTTACACATTACACACTTCATACATGTGACACACTTCATACATATGACACACTACATAAACACTGACACATGTAAACTGTTACACATACTTAAATCACACGTCACTACATTTTAACACACTACATTAAAACACGCCGTTACACGCATTCATATGTTACACGCACGCAACTGAGTTCAACACTTTACATGCAGCACATGCAAGACACACATGTTAACACACGTACGTTCGTCTGACATGAAGTTTAAGCACGTAAGGCTACATTCACACGCGTTAAACCACTGTATTTACTATTGCACACACGTTTAACATACATACATTCCTGGGAAGTATAACACTCATGTAGATTCATTATTATTACATAAATGTCGTGTGCTGATAACGTATCCACGGTCTAACACATACAGCCATACACATACAACGCATGTTCACACACGTGGACACATTACTGTGAATGCACGCGTGTGTAGCCACCGCATTCTGTAACGTGTGAGAATGCACGTGGTCATGTGTGTTGGAATGCATTGCGTGTGTGTGTTTGACCTGTATCTTGTGTGTATGTTGTAGCGTGTGTTTAATGTTCAATGCAGCCTCTGTGTGAACATCTGAATGTGAGTGGCATGCACCGTGCCGGCTTTCATAGGTGCCACTGACTCACAGCACTTGCCCCGACAGTCTGTTAAGGCTATACGGGGGATCTTTGTCTTTGTGTGTAGAGTCTACGAACTCGGCGACACGAGATCGATTGCCACTCACGGCTAACGCCAATGACAAGTAACTGAACCGGTCCTGGGCCTCCCATAGGTCGACTCAGCCTAAAATTATCACGTGCTGTGATGTACAGACATCCCAAAACGTCTGTGAAGGCTACACGGGGGATGATTACACACCGCAGCAGGTACTCATTTGAGGCTGAGTCGCCCTAGGGGAGGCCCGGGACCGGTTCAGATAATCTTCACCGGTGTTGGCCGTGAGCGGGAATCGAACCCGGGTCGCCAGGTTCGTGGCGCTGCGTGCCAACAACTCCACTAACCGCCCCCCCCCCCACACACACACCACACACACCACACACCACACACACACCACACACACACACCACACACACACACACTCCACACACACACACCACACACCACACACACACACACCACACACACCACACACACACACCACACACACACTCCACACACACACACTCCACACACACACACACCACACACACACCACACACACACACCACACACACACCACACACACCACACACACACCACCCACACCACACACACACCACACACACACCACCCACACACACACCACACACACACCACACACACACCACACACACCACACACACACACCACACACACCCACCACACACGCACCACCCACACACACACACACACGCCACACACACACCACACACACACCACCCACACCACACACTCACCACACACACCACACACACTACACACACCACACAACACACACACCACCCACACACAAACACCACACACACACCACACACACACCACACACACACACCACACACACCACACACACACACCACACACACACACCACACACACACACCACACACACACACACCACCCACACACCACACACACACCACACACACACACCACACACTACACCCCACACACACACCACACACACACCACACACACACACCACACAAACACACGTGTGGAAAACGCAACAGGCCTGCAGGTGGAGGGGGGTGGGTGGTGGTCCGGGTGGAGCGATTTTATGGGGCAACAGCAAACGAAATTCGGGGAGCACAGGTGGTCCATCCTCCCCGAGAGCAAAGGCGGCGTCAAGAGGGAGCTCTCTCGACACGGGCTGCACTGCAATGTCTTCACCGAGCACGGTACCTCTGCCCTGCCCATGCCGCACTACCAACTGCACCCCCACACGTGCCACCCAGTGTGGGCAACTCGTGCCATCGTAGGGATTATGATGCCTCCCTCTCTCCTCATACTGCACCAGTGCTGTATTCATACCTGTCGTACCACCACCAGCCCACCACTGTACGTGTGGTTTTATTTGTGTGTATGTACGTTGAACTTCTTTCGCACCGTACGTAGCCAACCGTGCTAATCGGAGGTGCGGTTAGTTCGGGGGCCCGCGTCAAACCAGGCCAGTGCGGCTCTGGTTGCTTTTCCACTGCAGGAGCTGAGCCGTGCCGCTGACGTTGCGCGCGGATAATGAACAAGTCGATGCGCACGTGGTTAGGTGACGCGGGATGCTGCACGCAACGGACTGGTCGTAAGAACCGTCCGCTGCTGACCCTGGTTCGTCCAGTACCAGATTCGGGTGCCGCGGCTGCGAAATGTTAACTACCTCGCCTTGTGTGCAGGAAGTCGTGGGGTTCGATCCCAACTCTGACGCCTGCTGTATATTTGGAGTTTGCACGTTCTCCACGTGGTCACACTAGATTTTTCTCCGAATTCTGTGGCTTTTCCCTTCGCATTTAGAAACATGCGTTTGGGGTATTTGGCTGCAATGAATTTCCACGTGATAAGCCACTTCGTTGAGCTATCATTTGTGGCCAGGTCGCTTCAAAAAGAGCTAAATAGCTCAGTGCTGAAATAAAAAAAAATAGTTTCGAGATTTAATTAAGATTGAGACATCCTTTGAGACCAGTGTAGCACGGTTTGGGTCTGGCTCGGCACATCCGAGCCACGCCAGCCCTGAGCTGGCGTGGCATGGATGTGCTGGTGGAAAAGGGGTGAAAAACGATGTCTTGTCCGTGCTGCACTCTGCCATATGATGATGCCTGTGCCATATAACCACCTGGGTAAAATATTCATACTCTATTTATATTTAGGAGTTACTAAAAGGTGATTGCCGGATCAAAGCAATTAAACATAACCTTTTGTTGAAAGAAGCAGAGGAAATAGTTGATCATTCCTCAAAGGTAAATATCACCATAAGGTTTTGGTGGCATTTAGATGACCCGTGTAATTTGCTCCCCACTGCACCACAAAGACTCCCCCTAACTCTAAAGGCAATCCTAATGTATCTTACTGTCAACACAAGTTACACTCTGACCTACAGCTCACTCCGTTAATGGCGAGCAGTGGACGGTGAGGGACGCTTTGGGTTTACTCTCTGGTCAGATGAGTCCCATGCGATTCTAACAACAACTTCAGCTTGTGTAACGTGCCCGCTATTTTCTGGCTCGCGGAGAGAGAGGCCGTGAGGAGAGGCAGCAGTCAGGCGGTGAACCGGTGCCAACTCCCCCCCGCCCCCTCCCCCAAGCTCTGTGGTCCTTTATGTATGAAGGTGTTTTAGGCCAATGAATGGGTGTTTCCATATGGGAGTAAACCGGAGCAGCGGAGAGAAAACCCACACGTGCGAGGGGGAAACACTCTATTCCAATACACACGGAGAACAGGTGGGGGGGGGGGGGTCCATATTTGCTCAACCACCTTCTGGCAATCACTTTAATGTGCTTTACAATTTGGACGTAAGGACTCTTTTTTTCTATCTCCCAGGAAACCAACTGAGTGCCTCCGTGAATTTGCAGAGTGTCGATCAATCGATGGCACTCGGGGAGTGGATAACGTCGACCCGATGTATTTCAACTCCGGTCACATAACATTTCATAAGTACACATCCCAGAATATATATTTGTTTTTTCAAGGTGGCATCCGAAGTGAAGCTGAGAAACAAATATTTGGTTAGGTTTAAAAATTTTATGTGGTGCGTTTGTCGGATGTATTTATAACAAAAACGGCATTCGCTGGTGAGTGATTTTTTTTGTGTAAGCATTTGAGTAGTGGGTAAAGCGGAAACCCCTTCTAAGAAAGGCTCCTTTTTTCATTGTTCACAAGAATAGGCGACTGATTCTTGGGCTTCTTTGTTGTAATAATAGGGGAGGGTGGAGGAGATGGGGGGGATGTTTAGCCTCGCAATGTGCAAACATTTAACATGTGCAGATGGGCTCGTATCCAGGGTTACAGAGATGAGCACGTATTCAGTCCTTGGGCTGCAGCGTACAATTGAGCTGCTGAACTGGGCCTGGGGGGGGGTGGGGGCTACTGGAAAATTATTGTTCGACTAATGTTTATTTATTTTTTATAACTCGGCAGAAATGAGTTCTGAGCGGAGCGGTGGGACAGCGGTTAGCTCGCCGCGTTTTGAAACCCCAGTGACCGCCTTCGCAAATGCGCCGCGAGCCAGCCATGGTGAAGTATGATCAAACGACCACCCCCCCACCGCCCACACGACCAACGTGGCCATGCCTTCATTCAATAGTGGATTGACAGAGACTTTCGACTTTTTTTTCTTTTTCCGCGACAAGTTTGTTGTTTCGAATAAGGTTGGCGGTCGCGGTGTCTCCATTGTCTGACTTCCATTCTACGAAGTATTTTGAAACTTTATTTTTAATACAGTCTCGGTGGGTAAGTTCTTCATCTGGTAGTAGATATATCATGGCTGCTGATGAAGTTAGCCCTTTTAAATAAAATAAAAGTCCATTCAAGAGGCTCTTATTCTCCATGAAGTAAAGTATATACACAGAGAGACTGTTTGAATGGCCTGATATGGTGGCACTGTCGACCCATGCTATCATTATAATCACCAACCTGCCCATTTTGTTCCTCATATCCGCATAAGTGTTGCAAATCACGGATTTTAGGAAGAATTTTCCATCACTTTTCTTATCCGCAAATAGGCGCTAACATTTGTGCGTATTATAGGCAGGTCGTATTGTGGCAGGGTAGCGGATAATTTGAAATGCGGTTAATAGGAAGAGCGAATAAATAGGCCATAATTAGAAACGCAAGCCAGAGGCTGCGTCGAATGTACACAATGGATTTCGCGAAAACAACTTTAGGCTGTCTATTTTGAGACTCGTGGCAAAGCAAAGATCACAAGAGAGTAAGATACAATTTACTGCGTTTGCGTGCAGCGATACGGCGGAGTGATACGAAACGCATGTTCGTTTTAACTGCGTTACACCGGCTCTCAGTCATAAATTTCAGTCGTAAAATATGAGTTGCGCTGTTGACAAGGCTGGCCAGCGCTGTGAGTCGTGCTCTTGCGTTCTCTGACCACATCAGCTGATTTTACAGCTCATTTGCTACTTGCCTTAATTAAATCGAGTTGCGTTGTTGGGCGTCAATTTGTAATTCGCGGTGCCGGGAAAATTTCCATGTATTTAAAATCACTCCTCTTTAATCTGTCTGGCTTGCCGAGCTCAGTGTAAAAAATAGGAGGCCTTTCCCACCGTCTTAATTGAATTGTCGGTAATTAAATTTCATGCTCGCATACATCTCTGCGTGCCGCTTGTTTTTATGCGCACTGCTTCATCAAATGTTGTTATAATATGTCCAGTAGCACGTAATGATTAACCCACACTCCCTCACTCCAACCCCCCTCCACATCCCCCTCCCACTCCCCCCACTATTTAATATTGATGAGCCAGCACCACTGAGCTCTTGGGGTTTGAGTTTGAATCCAGGTTTAAACCACCTGCGATGAACCTAGTTCTCAAGCGCAGTGGTGAGCTGACATTGGGTTGCACAGAAAAAAAAAACCCATCATAATGAATTCGGTTTTGCACTTAACTTAATTAAATTCCAGCCTTGATTAATAAATGTATTAGTTCGTGGCAGCCTAGAAATACTGTACATCAGCCGTGCATCCCCGCAGCCTATTACAACCTGTTTTATGCAGGGTGGTGGTCACCCATCCAAGCACTATCCAGGCTCAAACATGCTTAGCCTGTTATGTCTGACGAGAGCGGGGGGGGGGGGCATTCCAGATGATTTAACCATGGATATCTCTCGTATATTAATAATTAGTGAAATTTCATAGCAATTAAGAATTAAGAGCTCACCGAAGCTAAAGACCTGAGCTACCACCACCACCATCATCATTCGCACTGTCTTCATAACAAAATAATACTGGTAGGAACCTCCTGGTTCTACCAGCCCACAGGGGATTATTGTGTCCGTCCGTCCGTCGTGCATCCAAAAATGGGAGGGGTGGGGCTGGGTGGAGAGGGGAGGGTGGGGAGGGTGGAGAGGGGCTGGGTGGGGAGGGTGGGGAGGGTCTGGGTGGGGAGGGTGGGGAGGGGCATGGGTGGGGAGGGTGAGGAGACGCTGGGTGGGGCGGGTGGGGAGGGGTTGGGTGGGGAAGGTGGGGCTGGGTGGGAGGTGGGAGGGGTGGGGCTGGGTGGGGAGGGGCTAGTCACCCCGTGGTGCCCTTATAAAACTCAACGTTTAACCTACTCACAGCGGCTTGTGCCTGCCCTCACAGTCGGGCATATTTGCGGAATACACCACGCCGCCGTTGACCCTGGCCATTGACCGAGCAACCCAACGTTCCTACCAGATCCCTCCGCAGGACAATGTGTTACATATTATGTTGACATCTAGGGCAATGACCCGACCACGTTGTCATTATTTCAATCGCTTTTACAAAACAGTTTGAATTCACATACCTTCTAAATGTGACTGCATCTCGAAATGCAATTCGGAAACACTAGGCATATCTATGCATTGCCTTACTCGAAGAAAATATATAACACACTAAATTGCAACAGAAAAATAATGCGGGTGGGCCTGGGGCAATGTCCCCATCAGTGGAGCTGAGAAACCGGCCGGAGGTTTGCACGTGTGACTACGTCTCGTTTGGAATTCCCAGATGCCAGGTTGCGTAACTGATGGACTGCTCAAGCCGTGCGCCCAGCACCAAGGCTTCACTATATCTCGAGTGTGGATCGGCAGAGAGAGACAGTTGAAGGAAGTGTCTCTAAATTCTGCCCACCCGCATGCCCACCCGCATGCCCTCAGCCAATTGGGTGGCAACGCTCGTCGTCATTTCCACGGTGGCCAGGCGCGTAGGCTAAGCTATATT